TGGATCTCTTCCTTCAGTGTCTCAGCTCTTGGTCATGTGCTAACTCCTGAAAGCGTTCATGGTCAGCCCAGTCTTGGGGGGACAGCAACTCTGTGTCTTCTGTCTTCTTTTGATGCTTCTTGCAGTGTTCAATATTTTGCCCAGGGAGTCCTCTCAAAATTGCAACTCAAGGTTTGAATGTTTCTTCAGTTCCTCCCGTTTGAGGTACGCTGAGTGAGTTCTGCCTCTGGGGTTTCTGACCCCAGGTCTTTGCATGTCTCATTGCAATGCTGTTTTCGCAAACTGCCCTTCACCGTTTTGGCTCTGCTCTTTGACGCCATCATTTCTGCCACTTGGTTTAGCTGTTCCTCAATTAAGAGCAAGTTTCAGAGAATTGCCTGACCTCCGCTTTGAGGTTTTGTTTCTTTCCTGTCTTTTTAATGACATTTTGTGTTCTCCGTGTACAATGTTCTTGATGCTGATGAGGACTTCTGCCATAGTGTCCAGTGCACCAAATCTGTTCTCCAGATGTTCTGTAAACTCAAGTGGGACATGATTTCATATTTGGGGTCTTAGGGACTTTTCGAAAATCTCTTCAGCTTCAAACTGAATTTACATATGAGCAATTGATGGTCTGTTCCACAGTCAGTCACTGGGCGCATTTTAGCTGCTGATGTTGATAGCTCTTCCCATAGATGAATCAGTTTGATTTCTGTGTGTTCCACCTGGAGGAGTCCTCATGCATAGTTGTCATTGATGTTGTTGAGAAAAGATTTGTAGGATGAAGAAGGAGCTAGTCTTGTAAATGTCTATCATGTGATCTCCAGTTTCATTTCTACCATGGGCTATATTACCCAATCACTATCCCTTCATCTTTGTTACCAACTCTCACATTGCTAGTACTTACGGTTCATCCTGATGGCATGTCTGATCAATTTGAGACCGAAGAATTGGTAGAATTGCTCAATTTCTTTACCACTGGCTTCAGTGGGTGGTTGGTAAGTTTGAAGAATCATAGCACCGACCGGACTTCCTGGTGGGTCTGCAGACACCATCCCATCACGGACAGCACTGTACTTCGAGATGAAGTCTCACCATCCCTGCTTCTAAGGAGCACGCTGGTTGCCCTTCTTCCAAGACAGACTGGTTTGTTCTTCTGGCAGCCCGTGGGACTTCCAAGATTCTTTGCCAACGCCTTCATTCAAAGGCATGCATGCTGTGCCAGGCCTCGTTCGTCAGTGTCCAACTCACACATGCCTTTGAGGCTATGGTAAACACCATGGCTGGGTCAGGCGCACCGCAGTCCTCGAAATAACCTGCTTGCATTTCAACACTCTAAAGAGGTCTTGTGTGGCAGGTTTGCCCAGTGCAATGCATCGTTTGACCTCTTGACTGCTGCGTCCGTGAGCACTGATTGTGGATCCAAGCAAGACGAAGTCCTTGACCGAGTCAACCTTTTCTCCATCGATCATGACGTCAGCTGCAGCTCCAGTTGGGAGGACTGGGGTCTTCTTTACAGTGCGTTGTCATCCTCAGAAAGCTGATGGAGCAGTTCTGTTGTCCTACAGGTCAGAGTTGCCTCAAAAGTCCTGGGTTTGGTTTGGGGGGTTGGTGTCTGAGGGGGGCTAGGAAGAGCTGGAGGAGCCCTG